AAAATAAAATAAAATAAAATAGAAGTAGAGATAGAGCTATAATTCTGCCAGGACTTCAGTCAAACTGTGGATGAGGTCCATAGACACAGGGTTGCAGCCAGCCTAGGAACTGGCATGTCTGGAACTACTCAATGCACATTGGCATACCAGAGCCCGGTTATCCCTTTGTTAAGTGGAGAAGCAGGATGAATGTAGAGGGAGACCAGCGAGCCAGGATGGAGAGTCTTCCAAGTCTGAAACGTGCTGACACAGATCTCACTTGCCTCTCCATCCATAAAAGAATGGAGACGTCTCACTCGCAGGGGCCAAATCCTTGGGCCGACAAAGACTGCACAACCCTAAAGAGTACCTTCTCCTGACACGAGGCTCCCCAGAATCCAGCAACATGTGCTCTACAGCAACACCTGGATGAAATGGATTAGATCAGTGGGAATAACTTAAGTTATACTTGAGAAGACTCCATTATGAGGACTTTAAAAATACGAAAGGGGAATTTTTAAGACATCAGTGATACCAATGGATGAAGCTTTTTTTTCATTTGACAAGTAAATAGAATCTCAAAAGCAAATTGAATATAAATATTTAGGGGTCTTGATAAACATACTTTAATCATAATGGTCTTGCTTGATTTTTTATTTTTGTGGCCTTAAAAATACAGTGAAAGATATATATATATATATATATATATATATATATATATATAGAGAGAGAGAGAGAGAGAGAGAGAGAGATTGATCAGTTTTCCATTTGTGGGAAACTTCTTCTACTTGGGATTTAATTTTTTTACTAATTTTATTGAGAAACAAATAGCAATGAGACAGTTTCAAAACCGATTAGTAGGAGAGTTTCAATAATTAATACATTACATATTGTTGTCTTCATGGTGGTTATTCATAGTACAAGATGCAGACGTGATATCCTGTCCAAACACTATTAGTAAAAATCTTTCTTCTCATTGAATTAAGAGAAAGTAGCTGTATGCCTATCCTATTTTGTATATACAGATACAAAATGGTCCTTCATTTGTACCCCCCTTTTTTGGTTGGTTTTGTCAGATATAGGTATTCCATTGCCATTTAAATAAGGTAGACGCATGAATTCAGCAAAATAATCCAATATAGTCCAGGAGTCCATAATAGTACTGGGTTATCCATAGGACTGGCAATGTCAGAAGTTGTTGACTTGAGCCTTTTACAGCTCAGCATATTAATATGGCTTTACTTTTTATACCTCATTCTTATACTTTTCTGCTGGATGGTTAAAACCAAGATAAAGCAAGACATATATAACAAGAAATGTAACTTTTGTATCTGACAAGGTTAGTCAAATCCCCTCAGGATTTAACCTGAAACCCTGTACCACAGTTTGTAGATCCTTTGTCAGTGTCAACCATGTGGTTAAGTCATGGCCATTGCTTGTCCAATTTGCTGTCTGTGAAAGCCTGAGAGAATGTTTTCTCTCCATGTGACTCTCCTTAGGCACACTCTACATCATGAATCACTTTCCTCTGTGGCCCCATAATCTCCTTGATCAGAAAATTTGGGACACAACTGAGTTACAGGATATTAATACAGGTTCTCCTATGTCCTGAGTCTTCACTGACCTTGAAAGGCTAGGGCCAAAATGTTGGCTGTTACTTGGGATTTAAAAATAAGTCAGAAACGCTGACAGAGAACACAGAGTTCAACTCCATCCCCACAACAATGCCAAGATGAGCCACACCCCATCTCTAGTGACACAGGAAGGGAGCACACACCTGTCCTCAAGCCCAATCTCCCCTCATGCCCCTTTTTCTCATCCCAGAGATTCTCAGCCTGTGCTGGGGGGGGGGGAGCTCAACCTCTTGCTGGCCCTCTGCTCTGACTTTGCCTCCCCAGAAAGCTGGCAGCATCTGGAGGTAAGAACTAGGGAGAGAAAAGCACAAAGACATCTGGGACACCAGCTTCATCATCCTAGACTTTCCTTTCGTTTCTATTTTGCCCTACTCCCACACCCAGACTCAGGTAAAATGTGCTGCTCTAGAGCCGCAGACACTCTTTGATACTTACGTTATTTCATGGCTCAAATGCCACGAAACCCCAGTATGGCTCAAGTGGAACCAGGTATGGGAAATGGAAGGAAGCCAAGAGTTGCCAACTCAGCCCCCTGCCAGTCCACCCTTCCGGGCACTCCCACAAGGTGCCACTGGGCTCCCAAGTAGCAGGGAAACCCTCTCCCCCCAACTCCAGACCTGTCCCAGTTCAGGCCTTCCTGGAGTGCCTTCCCACCTCAGCTCAACTCGATAGCCTTCCTCTGTCTGCTGTCTCACAAACACTCACCCAGTTTTGAAGCCTTAGGCCAGGGCAGCCTGATGAAGTCTCTCTTGACCTTTCCCTTCCCCTTCTCCCCTTCTCCCCTTGTCCCCTTGTCCCCTTGTCCCCTTGTCCCCTTCTCCCTTTCTCCCCTTCTCCTCTTCTCCCCTTGTCCCCTTGTCCCCTTCTCCCCTTCCCCTATGGGCTCTAGAACTCACTGCTGCCTCTTACCTATTTCCACTGGCTATAAGATGCCCAATTCACTTCAAATTTCCAATAAGCATATCTCACTATTTGTCTGAAGTTTTTAATTTTTAAATCTGGATCTTCTATCATCAGAGTGCCCTGAATTCAAGTACCATAGATCCTGGAGCTTACATGATTACATGATTTGGTGGTAGCTGTAGAGTTCCTTGCAAGAAAGAGAACTCAAAAAATGAAAACATGGGGCTGGGGAGATAGCTCAGCAGCATAAACACCTACCTGGCAAATGCAAAGTTCTAAGTTCAATCCTGGTACCTCTCTCCAAAAAAAAAAAAAAAAAAGACCCTGTCCAAAAATTAGAAGCATGCTATTAGAGCAAAAGCAAATATTTGTTTAGAATGAAGAAAGAAATCACAAAAAAAATTACCAAGTTTTATTTTGTTTTGAGGTAGGGTCTCACTATAGTCCAGGTTGGCCGTGGACTTGCTTAGATAGCCCAGGGTAGCCTCAAATTCATGTTGATCCTCCTGCCTCAGCCACCAAAGTGTTGGGATTATAGGCATGGGGCACCATGCCCAGGTAGAAAATTACAAATTTTAAAAAGCTGACAACCACAAACACCACAAAAGCCAGAAATGAAAGTCACATTTTTACTAATTGACTGTCATCTCTTTGTTTCCCCTGATATTTTTTTTATTATTCTTTTCTTTTCTTTATTTATTTGGTACAGGGTCTCACTATGCAGCTCAGACTCACAGTGATCCTCCTGTCTCAGCACCAGGATTACAAGCGTGTGCTACCAAGCCTGTTCTCAGTGACCAGCTCAGCACCTGGAGCCAGCATGGCATGAGGTACTGGGGAGCCAACCGGGGTCCTTGCCAGGCAGGCGGTTAGACAGCAGAGCTATCTCCCCAGCCCTCCAAGCTATTTCTTAAAGCTTCATTTTCTAAATTATGTAGTAGCTAAGTACCCCAGAAGATTAAGATTGGATTACTTTACAATACACCATACACTTTCTGGTGATAGAAGGAGAGTTCTTTTCAAGAAACAGAATTCAAAACTAGAAGTATGATAGGAGAGATAAAAGCAAGTATTTGTTCAGAAGGAGATAATAAATCCCCAAAAATTACAAATTTTAAAAAGCTGACAAACACTACAAAATCCAAACATAGAAGTCGGACTTTCATGACTTGGCCATCATCCCCTGTGGTGCTGCTTCCCTCCCCGTCCTGCCCACATGGACACCACTCCAGGACTCTTCCTGGACATCATTCAAGGCGGCCCAGGAGGCAGCAGCTGCTGGGAGAAGGACCAGCCCTGTGCTGCTGAGCCCCAGAGGTCTCAGCTTGCTCCAGGACAACCAGAGGGCATCAAATCAAACTGATTTTTTGCTTCTTTTATTTCAATATCTGCAACGTGGTATCAACATACTCAAAATTCTCCACTGATGTAATACCTATCATTTTGTTTTGTGAAATCCTTTATGGTTTCTAAGTGGGTTTTTTTTTTGTACTGTCTTTTAAATTTTTCTTTAAAAATAAAATTAATAGTTTAAAAAAAAAAAACAAAAACAATTCACCGTTGAAAAAAGTAGATCAGCAGCAAAGGCTAACTGGAATTGGCTCACTTACCTGCCCGTTCTGTATTAAGCACCTTTATACATTATGCTGTTTAGTTTTCCCTTCTGTGAAGAAGCTATTATTTCTACTGGCTTGGATAAGGAAGCTGAGATTTATTAAAGCCCTCACCCAAAGGTAGTGAGGTACCAATTGACACCCTGGACGTGAGCAACCAGCCGCAGGCCAGCTCCTCCAACCTTACCATTCCACTATGATGGACCCACAAGGCCATCTGCTCCTGCCATCTGCAAAGAGGGAAACAGCTGAGGCCCAGAAGCACCTGCCCCAAGGTCACAGAGCTGAAGTACAGTGGCCCTCGGGCCACAGTCCATGCTCCTGAACTCTCCATCAAGTGCATTTCCCACCCACGGGATCTTTGTCACCTTGTCTAACTCCAAAGTTTCTTCCTCTGGGAATAAAGACATCTGTTCCCGTTAAGCGAGGGAAATTCAGAAGAGCAATGGAATGGCGGCCTGCAACAAATCCAGGCATGTCAGGAGAAACTACGGTGCTGCGGAAGTCGGACATGATTTCTCCTTTCCTGGCAATGTAAACTGTGTCATTTGGAAAGTGTTGGATCCATAGTGGCTGGGAGCCAAGGGAGGGGTTCCTGGTGAAGCTGTCAACTCAGGAGACCTGGGCGGGGCAGGGCGGGGCGGGGCCAGCTTCGCTGCACTGTTAGAGCGAGCAGGTGGCAGAGCCAGGGCTGGTCAGTCTGAAATCCCCGCGCTGTGCGAGCCAGCCAGGCGCAAAGGCCACATCTTCATCCCAGTCTGGCCCACCAGTTGACCTCCCCCTCTTGCCACCCAGCTCCACCGGTTCTGACTGTTTAGAAACCAGAAGCTGAGTCCAGACTTCCTTGCCCAGGGGCATGCCTCCCCTGCGCGGGCCATATGGCCACCAGAGCCCAGGTACAGATTCATTCCATGTGGCTTTCTGCGGGGGACCAGCTGCCAGCAGCTACATTCGAGTGAGCTCAGTTTAGGACTAAAATTTGCAGTAAACTGTATTTCCTGTAGGGACCCCTCTATCTCCCTCTCACTGTGTTCTTTTATCCTTGGTCCTCTCTCAGCCCTATGGACTTATTTTGTACTCTGTTTATTTTCACTCAGATCTTTTGGGCCATTCTGAAATCTTTCTTCCATCAGACTTGAAACTCAAGGAAGGCTGAGACCGTGTCTCCCATCTGAAGGGTGTGGAACTTGGTGACAGACATCCCCTTGTCAAGTCCACTTTTCAGCTAGAGATCCTGAAGTCATGTTCTGACTTCATGTAAATCCTACCATGGCAGAGAGTTTGTCTGTCTTGTTCATCTCCTCTTCCCCACAATGCCATCCAGGGTGGACACTCTCTAGAAGTTCCTCCTTCGGTGAATGAGCACATGGATGACAGGGTCTGGGGTCCTCCATGGTGTGGACAGTTGCATAGTTCTGTGATGTTTCACACAGCCACCTCTGTGGAGTTTAAGGGATTTCCACCTGAGCAGTTTGCAGCCAAGCTCGGAAGGCACTCCCAGGTTCACACCATAGAGAGCCTGTCCTTCTGTATCCCTTAGGTGAGGTCCTTTCCAGCGAAAGTCAGAGAAGTCCAGCCCAAAATCCTCACAGGTTTTCTTCCCAATATCCAACACTATTAGATTCAGCATAGGCTGGAAGTAGGCAGAAAAGTAGAACTGTGCGGTCTTTCTTCTTTCTGTGTATGTGTCTGTGTTAAGGACAAAGCAAAAGGAGGCATCAGAAGAAACATTTTTGAACTTAAAAGACGTTGACACGTTGTCATTCAGTAAAAGAAGAACTTCATTTTGCCCAACTGTATCAATATAAAATTCACCAATTTGCTTCATAGTTTTGAAGCATAACAACTAAGCACATCTTAAGTGACACAGAAAATCACTGCCGTTAAGGTTTTTCTTGTAGCACTATCAATATTTAAACACAGAAAAAGTTAATAGACCTGTGGCTACAGGTCCAAGTTATATGATTCGTTCCCTCGAGAAAGTAATGAAATATGTGGGGTTCTTCCCTCCCATACAAGAAAATACCACAAACTTTCCTTCTGGGATCCCTCAGGAAACCCCTCAGGAGTCCATGAACCCTAAACTAATAACATGAGAAGACCTGAGGTTGTGGGGTAGAGCTAAATGGTACAGCACACGTTTAGCATGAAGAAGGCCTGGGATTTGAACCCCAGCAACAGAAAATAAACAAACAAACTTGGATTTGGGTTCAACTTTGCCAACTTCTGGCTCTATCACTTTGGACAAGCTGATCAACCTCCATGTGCCTCAGTTTCCTCATCTAGAGAAGTAGAAGTGATAACTTTTGGCTCTTCAGTCCCTGTACTATGAATCAGAGTAGCATACATGTGGACAGGATTATTGTGACACAGGAAGGGAGAATATCTGGAAAGGAAGAAATGCCTTCTTCTATCCCACTCATCCAAGAGCAGGTTACAGCATGCTTGGCTATTCCTGTCCCCATGAGGGAAGTCATAAAAGCAGAGACAGACCCAGAACTAGAAGGGAAGCCCTACCTGCTCCTTCTCCATCAGGGCTTGTTCGTGCTAGTCCTGCCTATGGAATGCTAGTCCCGAGGCTGGGGGCCTGAGTCACTTCCCCCTTATGAAGAAGCAGGGATGAATAATTGCTGGCTCCCATAAGGCTACAGCAAAGCCAATGATGCCAAGTCATAGAATGAGCACCAGAGTTAGGGCGACTGGCTGTCCAGTTTGCCTGGGCCTGCAAGGTTTCCTGGCACCCATGATCTTTGGTCCTACAGCTGGGAAAGTCCTAGACAAACACAGACAAGGTGATCACCCTACATGGACTGAGAATGGGAAACCTAGATTTGAGTTCTGGCTCTGCCACTTAGGAGATGTGTGATCGGGGCAGGTCATATAAGGTTATCTCCTCTTTGTGTTCACCTGGATTTTATCATTGAGAATGTGGAGCAAATGAGGACCAGAACATGTAACATAGGGGAAGTTCCTAGGAGAAGGGACGAAACTCAAAACATAAACACAGCTAAGGGAAGTCTGTGCCTCACTGCTCCATACTCACTGCCTTTGTACATGACAACATTTCCTGCGTTCCAGCGCATTTTCACAAATGGCATTACTTTAAACACAAACTTAACATTCTCCTTTTCCAGATGGGAAAGCTGAGGCTCTGTGATTGAAGGATCACGCAGCCAGGTAGTGCTAGAACCAGAACTGGGCATCTTCGCGATCAGACTGGACTTCTTCTTTAAGGCCACCAACACCTCTACAGACAAAGAACCTGCTGAGGGCTGGTGGCAGCACAGAGACCGGCAGCAGAGGAAGATGGTGCAAGCCTCACACACTCTTGAAGATGTCTTGTGCTCTTCTGCCAGAGCTTAGTTTGCTTCCTTTCTTAAGATTAAGGGAACAGTCTCATGAGACTGCATGAGAAGCCCGGTGGGAAGGAGGACAGACGCACAGGGCGCAGATTCCCTTCATTACCTACCCATTCCAATCCATCGAGACAGCTTCCCGCTTCCAGACTGTAAGAGTATGTGAGAGGGTTGTGGTCCTTTAATAAGTGTTAACCATTACAGAAGTAAAGCTTTTGCTTTGATATGGAAACATGGTAGAGGATATAGTAAAATAGAAAGGAAAGGAAAATGCCTGTAGTCATTCAGTGGAGGAATAACCTGGTCTTCTTTTGTTTGTTTTAATCTTGAATGTATGTATGTGTGTATGTATGTATGTATGTATGTATGTATGTATGTATGTATTTGGTAGGGTGTCTCACTATGCAGCTTAGACTTGTAGTGAGCCTCCTTTCTCAGCCTCCCCAGCGCTGGGATTATAGGTGTGTGCACCACGCCCAGTTTCATCCGGGACTGCAGGGCTGGCATGGCATGTAGTGATACTGGAGATCAAACCTGGGTCCTGGTGCTTGACCAGCTGGTCTCCTTTTAAACTTGAGGTCTTCTAAGGCAAACTGTTCAGAGTTTTCATGCACTGAAAGAAAGACCCTTACCAGAGCCCACCTGGGCCACTCTGCATGCATTCGTCTGGGCTCCAAGATACGCCAGGTCCTACGTTTGGTCCTGGGCACCGAGAAGAGGACAGGTGTGAAAAGCACAGCCTCACAGGGATCTCACAGGCTCAGAAGACAGGATATTGGACACTTTCTGTCACAGTCACCCTTATTGCTTCTGAACTCTGGGATAAGAACCTTCAACATACTAATTTATTTCATTGTTCACAACCTTATGAGTGGGGACTGCTTTTAGCCACAGTACATGGATTGAGAAAACTTTGATCTGAGGGTCTCACTATGGCTTGAGTCTATCCCTCAAGGATTCATGAGTTGGGAGCTTGGTCCTGAGTGTGGGGATCTTAAGAGACAAGGCCTAGTGGGAGGTCCTTAGTGGTTGGGGACAGTCCTCAGAAGGCCACAGCTAGCTCTCATGAGAAAGTTGTTATAAAACAGGCAAGAATGCTGCTGCTTCCCTGCCGCCCTCTCCTGTACCCTCCTGACACAGTGCGAGCTGCTGTTACACTCCTGCCAGAAGCTGAACCAAAGAGGTCATCTAATCTCAGGCATTCAGCCTCTACAATTGTGGGCTAAGTAAATTTTTTTTCATTGTCAGACCTCAGCCCGAGATATTTCATCCGGATGATGGAAAACTGATACATTAAGTTAAAAGAGTTTCAATATTTGCCCAAGGTCATAGAATTTACAAGGCAGGACTGGAAGGCCTGGGCCTTCAGAGGCTCACTCCAGAGCAGCGTGAGGACTGTGACCAGTCGGGTCCTTGGGTCAGAGCTGCCTTCCTAAGGAGGTCAGGTCTGACCTGAAACATGCAGATGAGGGCTAGAAGTGTTCACTCCATTCTTTCCTCCCATCATGCCCTGGACTCCATGAAGATCCTTGCCAGCTGTGTCCCTGTCAAGGCTCTGCCTGGCCTCCCTCTGCCTTACTTCCTATCCTCCTCCACAGGGCTATTTCCCCACCAGCCTCCTTTGGCTTCCCCTTTCATACAAGCCTCTTACCCAGGACCCTGTCCTGCCCCACTCTCTCAGGGGCATTTGGAAATTCCCCTACTCCCTTTGCCCAAAAATGTTTCAGACATAATCCAGAGTCTCAGTTTCCCCAACACTAAATAGTAATCACAGTTTAGGCTAGAACGCCATGCTTAAATTCCTTCAAATTCCAAGCAGGGTGGGGCATAGATGTAATAAAGAGAACTCT